CCCTCATCCCTAGTTGGTTTGAGATGTTTCCATTTCCTGCGCTTTGGAACGTGGCCTGCCGTGGCGCAGCAGCCTCAAGCCGGCAGGCAAGACAGCAGCTCGCAGCCCACAACCACACTGTTGCAAAATATCTTTATCAACAGCAATTTTGTTGTTCAGTTTTTCACTACACGGTTTAAAGCTTACAGTGATTTTCACCGTAAGCTACAGTGAAATTTTGCAGCACTGAAGCTTACGGTGATTTCCACGTAGTAATTTTCCGTAAGCTACGGTGAATTTCACTGTAAGCTAGTGAATCTCACTGTAAGCCACGGTGAATCTCACCGTAATCTACAGTGCTGCTGGCTTTCTCTGTAGCTTACGGTGACAGTCACTGTAAGCTTTTAACAGCGTGACTTGTGTGTTATTATGTACAACAATATCAACAAAAATTTGTTTTGAATTGAAAACAAACATGGTTGTTTTCCATCAACTATTTTTGTCCTCCAAAAACATGGCTGTTTGTCATCAACGCAAAGGTTCTCTTCAAAAACTATTTTTACAAGTGTGCAGGCGCTCTGGGAGAAAGGAGAAGAGCAGAGCCTGTACGCTCGGGCGACGCCCAGGTCCTTCTAGGGAAGCGGGAGCCTCTGTGTGTGTGTGTGTGTGTGTGTGTGTGTGTGTGTTGGACGAGTATGTATGTATGTATGCGTTCGTGTGGAGCAGGCAAAGGCACGCGTCTGTATCAACAACCAAGTTTATGTTTTCCTACCCAATACGGGGGTCTCTGGATTCTTTTTCTTTTGTGTTTTTTTTTTTTTAACTTTGGTTTTCCATGTGTGTTTTTGTTACCAGCGGGGGGAACACACACACAACATACCGCACTGTGGACATTCCCCACACGGAAATGATTCGTTGCAAGTGGCTTGCGTCTTGCGAGATAAACGTTGATGCGGTGGCATATTTTCTAGCTCGTCGCGCTTGGCTCATCAGCATCAGGGGCGCCTCTGCCATGCCCAACCGCCACACCTCCGCTCTCTGTGGTTGGTGGTTCGTGTTGGTGGTGCCCGTTATGGCGGTGCCCGTGGTGGTGGAATGGTATGGTGATGGCGGGATGGTGGTGGTGGTGGCGGGATGGTGGTGGTGGCGGGATGGTGGTGGTGGTGGTGGTGGTGGCGG